AAATCTCTCACTTTTCTACTTCTGAAACACTCTTAGAGAAGAATTCACACTTAATCTCACCACAAAAACTCTAAACTCTTAAAGAAAACTTACTAATAGACTCCTCAATAATGGTGGAATGAAGATGGAAAAAGTGTATGGAAGCGAGGTATGGCAGTTGAAAGCAAGGAGGGATGAAGAGGAGCCCCTTTTCTAGTCAATTTTAGCCCCAAAAATAGCCTAGAGTCGGTTAACCAATAGGTGCATCCAAAAACTCTTCAAAAAGTGTCCAAATTCATCGAATCTTCTAGAAATAAGAGCTGAACAGACATTGGCGCCATCGGCGCCAGTGTTCTGTAATTAATTTTGGTGTTCTCTGTCAAACGGTGTCGTCGGCGCCCAGTGTGGCGCTATCGACGTTGAAAAAATCTTCAATTTCTTTATTTTGATCTTCAATTTCTTCATTTTGACTCTGAATTTCATCTTTTTTGCTTTATTTTTGCTCCAAGTCCTATACTACTCTGAATTTCATCTTTTTTGCTTTATTTTTGCTCTAAGTCCTATACATCAACAATCTGCAAGAAAACATTAAAAATACCTTCCATCAAAGTGCAATGTCACCATAAATGAGTATAAAATAAGGGTCTAAAAATTCATATATTTTTGATGTATCAGTTGCTAATAGGAGTTCTCCAAGTATAAAATAAGGGTCTAAAAATTCATATATTTTTTATGTATCAGTTGCTAATAGTTCTCCGAAGATGACTTGACCCACAATCACACAATTATTTAAGTTTTGAACATAACATAAATTAAAATCCCCCCTGAAACATTTAAACAACAACAACAACAACAAATTTGACATTTAAACTACAAAACCATAAAACCATGTACCCTAGAGCTGTTACTTTGATGAGGATCTTGGAGCAAACTCTGTGTGTAGCATGATAGGTAGCATGATGAGGACATACAGATGAACATCTTTGAGAGAGCAAACAAGATCATCATCAACAAACATTTCTTTAAAATTAAGCAAAAAGCCATGGGATATTGAGGTAGCTCGTCTAGTACAACATAAATCTTTAACTTATCGTTAGGCCTTTGCACAACCATGTTGGGCAATTTAAGCCCTAATTCGCTTTAGGCACTGAGGTTGCATTTGTTACTACATAAACCCTCTTATCTTCAAAACTATTTGACTCTTATCTTCCAAACTATTTGAATGACCGTGTCATGCAAATGTAAGCCCTAAATAATAAAATAGATTTGATGAAACATCTAATAATATTTCCTCAAAATTGAAGCCAAACCATAAAATAGCTTGAGAAGTCACTAAGGTTCTCCTCAGGATCTGTGACATCCCCTAGTTTTCTCCTTTTTTATTCCAAAAATAACTGTTCCTATTTGATCTTTTCCCATTTGAAATTTCCTACGTCTGATCTTGAACACCTAAACTTTGAGATTCATGAAGACAAGCACCTTTGATCTAAATCGAGACTTTTCATGAATGATTTTGGTCATTTATGATGTAGCTAACCATATGGGCTTGCCCTTATAGGGAGCTCTAAGAACTAAGATAATATAAACCCCATCTAATCTTTTATATTAGATAGGGGAGCTTTTTGGTAAACATAAATGGTTTCACAAACCAAAAAGGATGTCATAAATTCTTTAGTTTATTTAATTGAACCTCACTATCAAGTAACGTGTCTATTCCCCGGGATAGATGCATGACTTATAGTATTGTGCTCATTTATTTTAACTTTTGTCTATATGGATCAGTTAGGTCTCATATTTTAAAATTTTAAAATGCTACTTTTCAAAATTATATATATGTATATATATATATATATATATTAAATTAAATATATTTTAAA